CCTCGCAGCCATCAGCCTCTGCAGGATCCATGACCTCGCAGCCATCACGGGCAAATGCAGCATCCATGACCTCGCAGCCATCAGCTGCAAATTATGCAGCATCCATGACCTCGCAGCCATCAGCTGCAAATGCAGCATCCATGACCTCGCAGCCATCAGCCTCTCCAGCAGGCGAATGGCTGAATTCCGCATCAGCATCATCAGCAAGGCCAGGACCAGCAGAAGATGAGCAGGCTCAGGAGCAGCCAGCCGATGATGAAGGATTTGTCTTGGTCTGATTGACCCCAAACATCCCCAAACCAACCGTGCATGGAGCATGGCATGAATTTTGTCCTTTAGTTGGACAAGCTTGGAATTGCCTAAAACAGGCATTGAATCTTAGAGTCTTAGAACGACCCTTCGATGATGACAGCATTCAGGAATCGGTCGGGCAAAACATGTTAACATGTTGGGTTGCGACGACAGCTCCATTCCGTTGATGTAGGTACATCCACTCTCCTTTGCGTTTTTAATGTGCTTCATCCTGTTATGTCCATCGCGGAATCGCATGAGAGAATGAATCATGATTCAATGACGAGTGCATTAGGGATGGGATGGGTTGGGAGTTTCGGGTGATGAGGTCGTACGTTCAGTCGACTCCGATTGACTTTTCCACTGCCCGCCGCCAGGTCTTTCCAATGACGAGTTCATTCGATGCTGTCCGAAGCCTGAGCGGCTTTCTTTCATCCGCCGAATCGCTTCATCAGGGCAGTTCTTGATTCAATTCCTTGATTGCGTGTTTTTGAGTGCAGCATTTCTCAAACGCAACCGAACCGGCATTAGATATTCTGTGCATCATCTATTTGACAATGAACACTTTGAGACTATGCCACGAAATCCACTGAGTGTGTCTAAGTACAAAATCATGTCAACATCCATTTGCCAAACGTACATGCCTTGGTGAGCTGACTGTGCAGCCAAGATCAGTCCTGCCCTGAGACATGCACTAATCCCGGATCGGTGGTCAAAGGAACATGGACCTCCAGCTCTGCGAAATCCTAGCTTTGCGAAAGTCTTCTAACAAATTCACCGCGTCCTCCGACCACCTTGGCCTCTCATGCCATTCAGGATCTTGGCATCGTCCTGCACGAGCGGCGGCTGCCAGTTGAAGACCGATTGGAGGACTATCATGACATGGCTACGGCAAGGGAACTAACATTAAATCAGTCTGACTGACTAAAAGTAACTCAGTGATGATTCTATCCAATCCTCCCCACCATCAACCTCCTTCCCGCCCCATTCCGCGCTGTCCTTCCAGGAGGTTCAGGGAAGCCACTCCACTTCATCCTGAGGCAGGGCAAGATGGGCAGGGTGTCGATTGTCCTTTTCACCACGGGTCCAGGTGCTTTATGGTGGCTGTTTGATGTTGAGGTGTTTGAGATCTTGTTCATTGAGCGTTTGCAAGCCAACGGCCCGCTCAGGACCATTGCATGTCTGCTGAGAGGAAGAGGCCTCACAAATTGACAGTTTGATGTCACGTGTTCCACTCCAGTGTGACCATCATCGTTAACATACAAAACACTTTTCAGTAGGCAAGAAAGCTTTGAATCTCTTGCAAGTCACCACACCCAAATCACCTACAATTCAATTTAAAGTTCAC